TATCACCAGCAAAGGCTGGGAAGATTGGGGAAAAATTGTACCTATGTTGGAAAAATTTTGCAATACCATCCTGGACTGTTGGTCGAAGTTGGAGAAATCCTTTTCTGACACTTAGAGTTTAGCAAACTCTGACATTAGAGTTTATTTTATATCGAGAAGTCATGGTTTTGGTTTATCAGTACTTATTCTGCTTCACCATAGAGTAACTATGTCATTGCAAGTGATCAGAGGCCTCTGAAGGTGAGTGTACAAGAAAGGAATAATTAGTGTTGTTACTGATTTTTAATTTCTTCAGTACATTTTATATTATGACAATGTGTTTTACTGTTACCTCTTTTGGAATCACAAACATGAAACCATTTATCAGAGACATGTAAAAGAGAGTCAAGTGAATAATAAATCCACTCTTTATTTCTAGATAGACCTATTATTAAAGTTTGTTTAGTCCTACCTTCAACACCAGGAATAGAGTTTCTATTTTAGTGTTATAAAAAGTTAAACCATTTCTTTACCTTAAGCAAGAATTTCACCAGGTTTTTAGAGAGAACACTATAGTAAGAAAAAATTCAAGTTGACTCACTACTTAACTTTCTGGACACATTACATTCTAAGTAAGTGTTTTTGCAGTACCGAAAAACAGAGTTCCACTTACTGATGATGAACAACAATGTATTTAAGTTATTGGAAATGTTTGTGAATAAGCTCATTTTTAAAGGTCAGCAGTTACCCCCTAGGGCACTAAATATATCAGGTTCAGTATTATTGGATTGATAAAGGAGTTAGAAATACTCTTCTACCTCACAGATAAAAATAGTAAAAAAACATACTTGAGAGGGTCATCAAATTTTAATGATAGTAGTTCAATAAATCACCTTTGAATGATTGCAATAAATCACCTTTGAATGCACTCTGAATTTCAGTGTCCTTATAAAAAGGGGACAGGAATATTTACTTCTAGGGTTATAATGAGGATTACACTGGTATTTTGTCCATGTGCTCATTGAGGATTAACTAACATCACCATGATCATCAACATTATCATTGTCACCATCTTCCCTTTAATCACCAACAATATTAGCTCCACCATGAATGTCACTTTCTATGGTCACTTTAGCTAGTTGTTCTTTGGCTGAGCAATATTTGCAGGGAGCATCCTTGTTGAATAAGAGTTTCCAGAATAATCATTCATTCATTCATTCTACAAATATTGATTCATGGATTCATTCATTCTATAAATATTGACCTACAATATGCTGGAGCAGGTAATATCAGACCCTTCACTGACCTCATGGAACAGATTACTTTCATATTATAACTGTGATAAGTGCCACAAGGTAGAGGTATAGGGATATTGTTATAAGAGCATATGATGGGCAATTTGGCCTAGTCAGGGTGGTCATGGAAGGCTTCTCCAAGGAAGTGACATTGAACCTGAGATCTACAGGGAGAATTGATGAGACAAGAGGAAGAGTTTTCAGCAGAGAAGATATCATATAAGGCAAGAGGAAAGGTAGTGTGTTATGGGAACTGAAAAAAAGGTAGGTGTGCTAGAAGCAGACAATATGGGAGGGGGAGTGTAGAAGATACGCTAATGAGGTATGTAGATGGGAAACCACTAAGAGTCTTGGTCTTTATCTAAGAGCAACTAGAAACTATTGAGGTGTTTTATGCACCAAATGACATAATCAAATTTATTTATTTATTTACTTCCGTGACTCTGGCTTTAGTGTGGCTTTAGTTTGAAAAGTGCAAGGGTAGGAGTGGGAAGCTATTATGAGACAATTTTAATGGTCCAGATAGGATATAATGATAGTGTGAATGAGGGTAGGGTCATCAGAGATGGACAAAGTGGATGAATTCAATAAAACATCAGGGGGAAATATTATAGTAGTTGTGGTTGGATTGGTTATATGGCGAAGAATTGGTGGAGAACTGTTAAAGGTGGTCTCAGGTTTTTGGCTTGCACAACAAGATCATCGTTGGTACCATCAAAAAACATTGGAAGAAAACCATATTTAGAATAAAGAACTATAGGATCAGTTCTGAGCAACTTCAGGATGTGGTTCTGAAAGTGAGCTGGGTGAACATGTCAAGCCAGTTGGTGACCTGAAGTAGGAGGTCTAGACTGAAGAATTAAGTTTGTGAATTATCTCCATAAAAACTGCATGAGTTTCAAAAAGATTGTGTAGGAAGAGAGTGTGTAGTAAAAAGAAAGAGTGACTTAATGCTAACATTCATATCCAGGGAGAAGGTAGTGGTCTGCAGAGAATGGCCAGAGTGGAAGGGCAATCAGGATGATATTTACCGAAGACAAAGGAAGTGAATGTTTCAAGAAAGGGCTAGTCAAGTGTTGGCTATGTTTTTTTGAGGTCAAGTAAGACGAGCACTAAAAATATGTCAATTAGATTTATCGATTTTATTTGTTAATTAGATCTTTATTATTAATAACGTTAGCAGAAACTAGTGTGTGTGTGTGTGTGTGTGTGTGTGTTTATGTTAGTGGGGGGAAGCTGCAAAAGACAAGAGAGGGCTGGGTTGATGGATGAGGGAGAAATGAGAAAAAAAATATTTTATATAGCTGTTTAGAGAAATTTGGGGCTTCTTTCAAAGTATTTATGGCTTTGTTTCTTTATTAAGATTTAAAAAAATCTCAGAAGTGGGATTTGATTAATTCGATAGTTTTTTTTCCCCTTCTTCTTCTCTTAGGAGATTCCCGTAGTAAAGACCACTGTGATAACTTGTCAGGGCTTTAACCTTTTTTAAAATTTAAATCATCTCTGATAATACATATGTCTCTAGGATTGCCATTGAACCATTATGTGCAGACTAAATTTTTTATTATTTCCTATTTATAGCCAATCTCAGTTCGTGATTAGATCAACCATATTGTAGTATAATTGTTTCATTTGTAATCTATCTGGTTGTTTTTATAATAGAGACATAACTTCTGTGTCCTGGTGACTCATAGTACTAACACAGAAGTCACAGGAGGAAGCTCAGGCTGACCATTTGGAATTGGTCAAATCAACTGTTTTTATTGGGCACTTACATTTAGATACGCCCAGTAGACTTTTCTTAGACTTTGATGTATTTTTTCAATAGTATATTTTGAAACAAAACAAAACAAAACAAGTCTCAGAACACTTGAAGTAAATGACAAATGTTTCTTAAAACTTCTGTAAATTATCTTTTTTTTTTCCAAATTTTGGGTTTTATAAAATTGAGCTTTTTATATGTTCCAGTTCATAAAACCTTTTCCCCTTTACATGCAATCATTACTTCCCAAGAGAAAATTGACTTAAAAATAGATTTCTTCCTTGACTACATGGAAACCCAGTTTACATAAACAATTTAGGTTCTTCTCTCTGCTTCTGGGTCTACCAGGCCCACCAGGTGAATGAAATGCAAGAACTATGGGGATTTGTAGCGGCTCAAAACTTCTGTGATGTCCAGAGCAAGCAGAATGGTGAAGTTTGAGTTTCTCTCAAGAGGTGAACCCATTTTTGGATGGGTTCTCCAGCTCCTTTCCTCCCCGGCAGTGCAGAAATATGATGTTGCAGTCTCCAGCACTGTTAAATCAGCAGGGATATCTGTAGCTAATGGTTATGCCTTTCTACTCTGCAGTTTGACTAAATGAATGGGCTGTACTGTCAGTTCTAATGACTTTGGAAAAGAGAGGCAGGCTCCTGGTCCCCTCACAAAGCATTATATGTTCAGTCTCACCATGTGAAGCAGATATTTGGTCCCCGCTTCAAACCATGGCAGTGCATGCCTGCAAAATTCCAGCGAGAGCCCAGAGTGTCCCACCTATTGTGGCAAATTTCCCATAATGTCCTGCAAATTGCAACATAGTTCGTGGGAAAAGTAGGAGGAAATTATTTTCCTGCATAGGGATAGCTCATGTGGGAAGGCTACTCCACAGGTTCCCGCAAGAATGGAGAAATACATCTGGTCCATTTGTGAAGCACATCATGGAATGGTTATTTTGTATCTCAATTTTACACTTTGGGGAAGTATTTGGAATGAACGAATTTCTAATAGATGGCTCTAGACTACGTGTTTGTACACTGCACCTTTTTGCTATTAAGGAAGTTGCTTCCCAAAAGAACGGTCATAGCCTCAGCCACACTTGCATGTGGGTATTTCTCCAAACTGTAGGTTCTTAAAGCAATTAACATTGACATCACAAGTCGATGGCAAGCTAGTCCTAAATGCATCAGCTTTTAAAAGGGCGTTCCCCAACAGCTTAATTGGTGAAAGTATTAGTATAAATTAAAACATGTGGGGAGACAGTATGTTTACACTCTCTTCTAGGCAAGAGGAGAATAAAACGTTAGTGAATAAATGAATTTTCTATTGTCCGCTGTTACCGTCCTCTTTGCTTCTTCTGTACAAGATGGAAATTAGGTTTCTAACAGCAGTTTTATTCCTATGACTCTACAGAAACTTTGTCATTCCCCAAGTAGGATGAATTTGATAAGTAGGCATTTATCCTTTTTGTGCTTGTTCCTTCTGAACAAGGGCAACTGCTCTCTACTGAACACTTTTACCCTCCCAAGCTGTGTTTGACATAATTACCGCACTGGAGCTAAGATTCATAATCTGATTGCCAATGTCAACAGAAATGAAGGCTTTCATGAAAAACAAAACCTGTTAAGTATACTCAAGGCACAGCATCAATCCCACTCATGAGTAATTAAAATACCAATTTATGATACATTTGTCTTTTACTGGTAAGTCTGGAAATCCTATGGATTTTTTTCTTCAGACATAGATGCTTGAAGGAGAATAAATTCTAAGGACAGTTACACCGCTTCAAGTTTTGGATTAGGATTTAATTCTACAAATAGCATTTTGAAGTACTTGCTATGTGTGAGAGAAACTAAAATGGACTGTTTTCTTTTCGTATTTAAGATTTCCTTAGCCCTAAGAAAAGAAGGAATTTAATAAAGTGGTTGAATTCTCTGTTGATTTTGTTTTGTTTTGTTTTGTTTTTTGTTTTTTGCTTGAATCTGGGGATTTGGTTCAAAGTTGATCCTTAAAGAAGGGAAAAAGCTACAATGTGTTGTACACTTCTTCTGTGTTAGTGGTTTTATTTGTTTATTTATTTTTCATGCACCAACCCTATGAAGTTTAAAGATGAAGCTCAGATACACAGAATAACTTGCCTAAGCCTAAACGATCGTACAGTAGTAGAATGGGGTACACAGGAGAGCAAGAATGAAAAAGTACAGTGCCTGGTGGCAGAGGAAATTGTCCATGTATCAAAGAGTTTCAGCACCTTGCCAAGTTCTGTCAGTAGGAGTCTGTGTAGCATATATAGGAATAGTTTCTAAGGGTACTAAGCCAAAGAAGAAAACTGTAGGATTAGACTGGGTCAAATTCATCTATACATTTGCCTTTACCTGGGTTTTGGGATTTAATGTGTTGGCTCAACCACCTGGGGATGATGTAAATATAGCAAACTGACCACTACACCCAATGGTGGTATGGAGTCAATGGTGGTGTGGAGTCATTGACTCCTCAAACTTGTGCTGAAACAAGAACCCTTACCCTTCTGTGAAAGCTGTGAAGCAGATGTTGCCCGTCCTATCCCACCTCCTGCAGCACCAAGACAGCGAGGTTCTCTCGGACACCTGCTGGGCCCTGTCCTACCTCACTGATGGCTCCAATGAGCGCATCGGCCAAGTGGTCAACACAGGGGTCCTGCCCAGGCTGGTCCAGCTCATGAGCAGCTCGGAGCTCAGTGTCTTGACCCCCTCCCTCTGCACTGTGGGGAACATCATCACGGGAACGGATCACCAGACCCAGGTGGCCGTCGACGCAGGCATGCTGCATGTGTTGCCCCAGCTCCTGATGCACCCCGAGTCCTCCATCCAGAAGGAAGCAGCTTGGGCCTTGAGCAACGTGGCTGCAGGGCCTCGCCAGCACATCCAGCGGCTGATAGCTTGTGGCATGCTGCCTCCTTTGGTGGCTCTGCTGAAAAACGGAGAATTTAAAGTCCAGAAAGAGGCCGTTTGGACCGTGGCTAACTTCACAACTGGAGGCACCATAGACCAGTTGATCCAGCTTGTCCACTCTGGCGTCCTGGAGCCACTGGTGAATCTGCTTACCATCCAAGACACCAAAATTGTTATCATCATCCTTGATGTTATCTCTTTTATCCTCCAGGCAGCAGAGAAGCTTTCAGAGAAGGAAAACCTGTGTCTTCTGATAGAGGAAATGGGTGGCATTGATAAAATTGAGGCTTTGCAACTTCATGAGAACCCTCAGGTTGCCCTGACTGCTTTGAACATTATCGAGAACCATTTTTCTGAGGGAGAAGAAAGTGGCACAGTATTACCAGCCCTGGACCAAGATCATGAATTCTTAAACCGCTTAACAAAGCAATACCAAGGCCCCACGACTCCTAAACCAAGGAGCAAACCCTAATGGGTAACTTCTTTAAGAACCTTCTATGTCTTGGCATGGCACAGGTGTAAAGCTTTTTAAACTAAATGTTAATAAAATTTTCGACACTTCACCTCCATCTATCAAAAAAAAAAAAAAAGAAAAAAGAAAAAAGTCAATGAGGAAGAAATGCTGGCGTTTTCCTGGAATGCTGTAGTGGAAGGAGTCCAAAGGCCCAGGGATGTCTGAATGTTGGGATGAGTCTATTATATATGCAGTTTGTGCAGCTACCCACGTACCATGCCCCCAAGAAGAAACCCCATCACCTGAACATTCAGAAAAGTGTTGGCAAGGAAAAGCACTGGCCTCTGTAGTGCCTGTCCTCTGCAGGTTGGCAGGGACAGTAGGAGGAGGTGCATTGGCACTGGACGCCCCCAGGTTTTGACGGAATCGGGGACTCACAGAGTGGTAGGGGCCTCATTGCCAGCGCTTAACCAGCAAAGACAAGATGAGTGCAATTATCTTAATACGTTGCGAGGATGGAGTGGTGAGAAGAGTGTTTGACCCACAGGGACTTACGGCAATGATTCGTCCATCATGGAATCCCCAGGGATGAAATGGACGTGTAGCTTACTAAGGTGTTGCTTCTTATATGTAGAAAAAGGCTAGTGCACAGAAATTTGACTCAGGTCACCAAGGTGGGGGCATTCATATTCAATTCCTAGACCTAATCTAGCTCACAGACCTGGAGCCGCTAAGTTTGTGGTAATTTGTTGCAGAAGCAATAGGAAACTCAGAGAGTGGTAAAATGCAGTTATAAAGAAAAATAGGTGAAAGATTTTGCTTGGCTGTCAAAGTTGGCAGGAAAGGGAGCGACCGATTAATTTCACTATGGACGAGTATAAGGGCATGTATATGATTTGAAACAATACTCTTAAAGATGAAGTCTGGCCATTCAGTTATAATGAAGGATAGGAATCTGAGAATTGCTATATGGTCACTTCTCTGAAAAATGAGATGTAGGTGTTTTGAAAGGTAAGAAAATGCCGGGCCAATTCATGGAGAATAGTGTGGCCCTCTAGGGAAGGAATGTTCTCCTTGTTGATTTTGTATCAATCCTTACTTCTACCAAAGGATTAGTCAGGTTCAAGAATCCAAAAACTGACTCTGAGGAGGGAGCTGGAGAATCAGACCTAGGCCTTTCCTTGGTTACGTCTCTCTCATTTTACTTCTCACTCCTGACTTTGCAGCTGCTTTTATTTTCTGATATTGGGATATTTTCTTCTCTTTCCACAAGGTGGACAGGCCTCTGGCTTTTGTGTTGGCCTAGGAACGCTGGGGCGGTGGCTCAACTTTTGCGACAAGTACTCTTACCTTTCCTTTCAGAAAAGGTGGCTGGTCTCAAAACCAGTCCATGTTGCAGTCAGTAGTAAATTCTGAGATTTTAGTGTGGGCTTAGAAGAAATTGTGGGTCACTCAGTGTGCTTTCATTTATGCCTCTATTTTGCTTCTAATTAGGAGTTTTCCATTGGTCCAGTGCAACAGACTAGAGCTTTGGTTTTGCTTAGGCATTGGGACCGAAGTCCAAGCTAATAATGGAAGTTAATTTGCCTAGCTCTGCCATTTTTATTTATACATCTATTTCCATGGGGACTTTGTGGGGATGTTAGGTGGATGGGCCAAGATAAAATTTATGTATTTCTGAGTTTCTCTATGAACATCACCTCTTAAAATTTCTTCTCTTCACAACTCCACAGATGATGTACAAAATAAAAATTTTACTTTCTCCTTATTCAGTGTCTAGCTCTGAAGTACTGTGGATTTTATTCTGGTTTTCCCATTTTAAGAACACAATAGATGGGGAAAATGTACATAGAAAAGGAATACATTTTGAATTTACAGATTGAGTCATTTATTCAGAATAGTTTCCTAGGTATGAATAGTGCTTTAGTAGGTTTACCATTTAAATATAGTTTTAAGATTAAAAAAATTCATCATGAATGGAGATTTCTAATCTATTTACTTTATATAAAATTATATCTCATCATATAATATACAAAGATGTATATAATATTCAATACAAACATTTGATATACATGAGTTGAAACTTTTTTTAAAGTCAAAACTTCAATTCTCAGCCCATTGTAGTTTATCAGAAAAACCTGGGAATACATTTCTAAATTGTACATGCTGCCCCCTTCCCCAAGGTGATATTATGTTTCACCCCTGGACTTAATAACCTTTGGGAATTTCTTTTTTGAAAGTTTTTCAAGGAAGGCATTCTCACCTTATCCCCCAAAGTTTTCAGGATAAGCATTAAATTAAGTTTTTGCCTTACTTCTTTTTTTCAAAAATAAAGTGACACTTTTATTCCACTTGGCAAAAACTGTGTGATGAAAAGTATAACTTCGGGTGCCTGGGTGGCTCAGTTGGTTAAGCGACTGCCTTCGGCTCAGGTCATGATCCTGGAGTCCCTGGATCGAGTCCCGCATCGGGCTCTCTGCTCAGCAGGGAGTCTGCTTCTCCCTCTGACCCTCCCCACTCTCATGTGCTCTCTCTCTCTATCTCATTCTCTCTCAAATAAATAAATAAAATCTTTAAAAAAAAAAGTATAACTTCTACACGTACATTTAGGAAATCTGGCTTCCTCCCAATGATCTCTTTCTCAGACAAGAGTAATAATTTGTCATATCTTAAAGAAGTTGTCTTCATCTCACTCCAGTTGGGTGTTTGAAATTAATGTCTATCTTTCTATCTTCCCTGGCTTCCTCTCTCCTTCCTGGTCTTCTCTCCCCCCCTCCCTTCTCTCTCTCTCTCTCCTTCACACACACACACACACACACACACACACACACACACACACACAGATAAGCCTTTGATAGAAACTAATTTTAAAGTAACAGTGATTTTTATGAAACTTAAAGAAGAAGCACTCAGGGTATCCAGTTCTGGTATCTGGTAAAATGGAGTAAGAACAGTCCAACCTGTCACTCATAATGAATGGAGCTATAAAACCTGGACAAAATGCATGGAACAGCTATTTGAGGATCTTACTAGAATGTGAAGTACCACTGAACCTACAGTGAGTTTACCATTTTTTCCCCTCTAGTGTACTCCAGCCTAGATTCAAGTAGTGCAAGACATGTAAGCACCATACTGAGAGAGAGAATCTGAGGGGAAGCCCTCTATTTCAGGCTCCAGGAACAGGACAAGGAAAAGGACCTTGTGGTGGGAACAGTGGTGACTGCAGGGGCCCACAAGTGCTTCAAACATTGAGGAATGAGAACATTCAATATTTTTTCTTTCTTTGTCCTGCTGCTTGACCCTGAATGCAGATGCAGTCATGGGAAGTTTGTGTCAGGGTGGGTAACTAAAGCCCAAGATTTCTGGGGAACTGAAAATGGAGTCCTAGGGAATCAGTAAGTATCAAAGAGATCACGGATATACAGGGGCTGGGAAAGAAATCCCATAAAACTGTTTATGAATTCCTGCACTCACTTTTGTTGCACATGAATGGATCTAATTGTAAACAATGTACCACATACTTTGAGAATGGAACTAAGAGATGGGCAATTGCCCAGGTCCTAGATTGGCTACTGAGTGGCAAACACAGGAGACAAATGTAAATAACACTGCAAAGCTATTGAAAACTGAAATATAGGTTGAAAACACAAACGGCAGGAAGCTGGTTAGAACATGGAGTCTAAACCCAACTGGGTTGACTGCTTACTAAAAGCAAAATATCAACATTTTCCATGGGATTTAAACAAGACCCAGAGTCTCATAAGGTAATATTCAAAGTGTCTAAATATAATGGATAATTCATTGGCAAACAAGAACTACCCCCACCCCTGCCAACCCAATTCACATGAGAAAAGATGAAGAACAGACACCAGTACTAAAATGGTTAAGATACTGGAATTATCTGGCAAAGACTATAAAGCAGCTATTATAAAAATGCTCAAAGAAGTAAGGATAAACACTTTTGAAGCAAATGTAGAGAAAGTCTAAACAAAAAACTAAAAGATATAAAGAAGTACCAAATAGAAATTTTAGAACTAAAAGTATAATACCCCAGCCTCTGCAAAAATAAGCAAGCAAAAAGAAAACCCCAAAGAGGCAAACAAACAAATAAAACCCTCACTGTATGGGCTCAATAATTGATTGAAGATGAAAGAAGAAAGTGAACTTGAAGATAAATCAATAGAAATTATGCAATATAAGAAATAGAGAAAAAAGAGAAAAATAAGGAGACTCAGGATAATACCAAAGGTCTAACATTCATGTTACAGGAGTCCCAGAAAATGAGGAGAAAGAGTATAGAATAGAAAAAAATATTTGAAGAAATAGTAGCTGGAAATTTCCCAAATATGGTGAAAGATAGACACGTAAAGATTCAAGAAGTCAATAAGCCCCAAACATGATAAATTCAAAGAAATTCACACCCAGAAACAACATAATCAAACTGTTAAACTTTAAAAACAGTCACAAATTATCAATAGCAGGAATGAAAGAAGGCTATTACTACACTCTCTGAAGAAAGAAAAAGGATAAAAAAGGAATAATATAAATAGATCAATGTACGTGATTCAATAAGCTAGGTGAAATGAACAACTTCCCCCAAACCAAAAATTTCCACAAACTCTCTTCAGGTGAAATAAATAGCCAAAATAGTTCTGTAATTATTAAACCACTTAATCCATCATTAAAAACCTGGGAAAAAGAAATCTCTAGGCCTAGATAGTTTTATTGCCAATTCTACCAGATATAGAAGAAATAAAACCAAGGCTACACTAGCTCTTGAAGATGAGGGCACACTTCCCAACTCATGTTATGAAATGAACATTACTGTGATATGAAAACCAGGAAAATACAAGAAAATTATAGATCCACATCTCTCACAACATCGATGCATAATATCACCAAAATATTAACAAATCAAATCCAGTAATGTATAAAAGAATAGTTTAACATGACCAAGTAGTATTTATCCCATGAATGCAAGGTTGGCTTAGTGTTGGATATCAATCAGTGAAACTCATTTGTGGTATAATAAGAAATATATATTTGGTTTTTGTCCCTGGTTCATAGCATGGAGCTCCTAAAACCCTTTGGAATCTCTGGAGCAAGAAGAGTATCTTTTGTTTGCTAAT